AGGAATGATTAATCTAAGAGTTTGTTTAGAGCTGAAACAATCACTCAATTAATTGATTATATATGAACCATTTGAGTCATTTATCAAGCAAATATGTAGAGCTATGAATTATTTTAACTTTCAGTCACTATGTCAGGTATTTTATACATTTGTTGTTTGGTTTATAAAATACAAGAAAAAGTTAAAATGCCACAATTACAATTTTCCAAAGTCCAAGTTAATGCCTTTAAATTTCTTGTTTTGTTCAACCAACAGTACAAAACCCAAAGGTGTTCAAATTACAGTTATTATCGATTAAGAAATCCAAGAAATACTCACATCTGGGAAGTCGCAGCGTGAGAATTGTTGGCATTTTAAATAAAATACATAAAACTATGACTTAAATAGTTAAATGAATACTTTCAGATGATTTTTTTTTCCTCAGTTGACTATCTGATTTACATATTATTTCGTAATTATTTCAGCTCCATAAAAGTGTCACTCACTGGTTCCAGATTGTCAAGTTTAAATATTTGTTTTGTGTGCAGAATTTTTGTTCAACCACACAAACGTATTAAGCAGCGGACCGGATTGCAGCTTGCTTAGCTTAATCAAGCCTCTGGCTAACAAGCGTCATGGCCAATTGAAAGAAGCCAGAGCTAGAAGCCCCTCCCTTACCATTGTCTCCTGTTAGGGAACAGTTCAGAAATGCAACAGTTGACACAGACAAGTGGAAAAGTTGCTAACTCATTTGAAACAGTATCACATGAATGTGAATATCACTGCTGCAAGGAAAATCAAGTGTAGTACAAATGCCGCTACCTTCATCATTTGCATATCATCTCATCATTGACCCAGCTAATCCAGCACTTATTAGTAGTAGTTTGCTGCACCATTCATTTTATATATTTTATTTATTCATTCATTCATTTTCTACAGCTTAGTCCCTGAACGGGGTCACGGGGGGGCTGGAGCCAATCCCAGCCAGCAATCGGGCGAAGGCGGGGTACACCCTGGACAAAAAAAAACGCACTCCTATGGGCAATTTAGAGACACCAATCAACCTAAGCTGCGTGTCTTTGGACTGTGGGAGGAAGCTGGAGAGAACCCACGCAAGCACGGGGAGAACGGGTGGGGCCCGAACCCAGAACCTTCTCGCTGTGAGGTAACAGTGCTAACCACTGCGCCAACGTGCTGCCCCTATTTTATTTATGTTTCATTAAATTTTAATAAAAAAATGCGGTGTTTACAACAGGTCATAATAAATAGCAAGAAATGTTATTACTTGTTTTGTTTTTTTTCACTACTGTACTGAAAATGAAACAAACCACGACCAAGGTACCGCTGTGAGTCTGGGTACCGTTAATATCTGCTGCTCTCCCCCATTTTTATGAATTGAATATGTGTGTCCCATTCTTCGTTGTTTTCAGAGTCTCTGTAAACTGAAGTATTGATTGATTCAACACATGCAATAATGAAAACACGCCTTGGTCTACTTCTCATTGTGGGTAGAAATGTTTTTATGGTGACACACAGGCTGGTGCAATGCTGTTGTTGTGATTATTTCTCAATACTGCCTGGGTTGGCAGGTTCTCAGAAGCCCTTTACACAGAAATGCAGCACATTTCTTAATTCTACTGTATTCGCTTAAACATTTCTCAATCAAATATAGCGACTTATGCAAACTGCAAGCAGGTGTTCAGCTTCCTGACTGTATGTGCTGCATCACACTGCAGCCCCTCAAACTTCAGCCAGTGTAAAGTTGGTCAGTAAAGTCAGAAAAAAAATTACACACTATATGACAAAGCTAATGGATGTAGCCTGTTTTTAGAGCTCTGGCTCCATTCATAGACTGATTATATTCTGGACTGTGTTGACAGCTGCTGAATTGCTCTCACCTGTTGTGTTTTGCTCTCAATCCGAACAACTCCCCAAACAGGATCTGTCGACACTCACACAAGGCACCGTGTCATTCAGCTGATTGATGTAGAGGCAACGGCTGTGTGTTTTTTAAGGTTCACTGTTGCTGTGTGTATGCTCTGGTGTGCCATTGAATTACATGAAGTATTTCTACTTCTATTTCTCATACATCAGTAGCATAACATTCAGTGTGTTATTTTTGTATAGCTGGGCTATTTTGTGATTTTCGTTTCTCTGTGCTGTCAGTAGATTGCATCAAAGTACAGTAGCTAAGTCTGTAGAGGTACAGTACAGTACAATTTTGCTTTTGGCTGTAGGCTGACTGCTGTTTACTGTTGCTCCACATTATTCAAATGGCCTGCTTTTCTGAAGGCAGAAACAGCAGTCAGTTTTTCATTGCATGGAAAGCCGGTTACAACCACCCGCCACCACTTGACAGCTGAAGACAGCTCATTATAAGAAGACCGAAAACCCATGTTTGATGTTTCTACTTAGTGAGGGAGGCACAGCTATATCAAGCTATCCCTCACAGGCTTTTCCTTTATAAGGAAATACTGTCTCCAACCGGTTGGGATTTGATATGCCTGTAGTTGCAGATGATGTGAGAGCTGAATATGGGTAATTGTATAGACAGAGCACTCAGACAGACTCTGAAAAGCTGAAATGTCATGTGTTTGCTTTCAGAAGAGAGGTAAAATAACTGCAGCACTTTGAAGTAATAATTAAAACACGAGAATGGCAGACAGAAATGCCAAAAATCCAAACCAAAGTTGCCATTTTAAGCTTCACAAAGGAAGGATTTACTGTTGATTTAGTCTTTTGGATTTTATTAGATTGTAAAGGTATGACTTTTATTGTGCCCACCCTCTCAACATCCATACATACAGTGCATAAATGTGTCAATATGGCATACAGTACATGAGTGTTATTTTAATGCCAGTAATATGCAGGCTCTTTGAGGGGAAATGTCTACAGGCAGACAGATGCCTGATAAATTGGAGATAACCACGGTAAACATCAGAGACCTACTCTGAGCGTCTGCATTTCTGCCTGGACACATCTGTCCTCCAGATTTCCCTGGTTCTGTAATAGCCATCTTCCAGCACCACTCCACTCTGTTGGTAACAAGTACTTCAGCCATTAGCTCTTCAAATGGAAACACATTTAAGCGTCTCTGCTTGCTTCCCTGTCCACTGAATTTGTAGTTCTTTGAGTATGAGAGTTATTAAAAGGGGTTGAATCAACCATAGCTTGAAGCACACAGTGGAGAGAGAGCAAATCTTATTAAGTAAGCTGACTGAACAGACTGAAATATGTACACAAAATCACCAGAGCTATATTCAGCTCAGTGTCAACCATGCACAGCACTGCTATAGATCTAGATAGATTATAATTTCCAGACAGCCACATTAACTTTATTGTGCATCAGGGAGATCAGCAGCTCAGAGATTCCTACTCTTCATTTACTAAAGCCTTGTTGTAACAAATGACATTTTTCGGTTTCTCCGCTCTTTGAAGGTGTAATCGTGGCCACTAAGTGTGACTTGTAATTTTAAAACCTCACCATTCGTGATGAATATCAGGAGCCTGACTTCCTAAATGCTAATCAAAAAAGTCTAAAACAACAGCGTCCTCAGTGACATTGATTTAACTACTGGCGTAAATTTAATTCAGCAATCATCCACACTATCCATATTCATGGTGCCATAATTTACTTACATTAATGTGGATCCACAGCCATAATGCTACTTGACAGGAATGCAAATTTACATGATAAATAAAGATGTTAGGCTGTTTGTCCTGTTTCTTCTGCTTTGATTTAGATTTAGTTTTAAGCCTGTTACGTTCTCCGTACACTGCCCTACATTACTCACCAGTGGTGGAATGTAACTAAGTGCATTTACTCAAGTACAGTATGAGGTGTGTGTTTTCCTTGAGTACATCCATTTTATGATCCTTTTGGACTTCTAGTCCTCTCTGTTTCAGAGGGAAATATTGCAATTTCTACTCTACTACATTTAATTACACTTAGTTACTAGTTACTTTTCAAATTAGTGTTTTACATTAAAAACATGTGATATGCTTTTATGATATAATGCAATCTACCCAGTATCTAAAACTGGATCTACATATACTACAACTCCAACTTTAAATGGCTCTTATGTGTATTTGTTCAAAAATTATAATATTACATCCATATACCTACAATAATATAGGCATCCTCTGTGGATTATTACTTTTGATACTCTTTAAGCTTTAAGTGAAGAATCGGAATAATATAATAGTGATATCGTAGGGGCAGTGTAAAAACTGGCTGCTGATACTTTTGATGTCCAGTAGGTAGTGCTTTGTAAAACGGGTTGCTGCAAAAAAGCTTGCGCCATGCACTAAGAAGTGTTGCGGTCTGAATGTACAGTTTTGTTGGGACTGATTATTCTTCGTTTGCCTGCATTTTGTATCTTTTTCCTTTAATTGTCAATTTCACTCATGCATACCTGCAGATCTGCTGCTTTTTAAATGTTTGTGTCTATTCAACAAAACTGTGGTACAAGGAAACGATCTCTGACCTCGGCAGAGTTGCATTTATATACTGTAGCTCCCTTTCTGTGTTTTTGATTGTAATTGGGATTGTGCCTCTTTTCAGCATGAGGTAATTGCAGTGTCCGAGAAGGTGATTGTGCGGCTGGAGGACCTGGTGAAGTGGACGCTACCAGACTTCTCAGGATGGGCCCACGGTCTGAAGGTCGAGCCTCTCAAGCCCTCTGTGCTCCGGGAGCTGGGCACCAATGGGAGGCGGGAGGCCCTCCACCGCTACCGAGAAAGCACCCTGACCAGTGGGCTCAACTTCAAGGATGTCCAGAGGGAGAGGGCACAGCTAGGTGAGCACCAGCAGAAACCTCAATTATATGTCTTCATTCCTAAAGGTTACTGCAGTGTTTTCCATTCCTCTGGATTGCTGTGTTAAATGTTTATGTATTTGTGTCCTGCCTCCATCATAAATCATCTTATGTTTATTGTCCTTTGGTTGGTTTAACAAGTGTTGTATTGACTGGAGTAATTCGTCTTTATGTATTTGGAATTTGTCCTGATATTATGACCTGAGAATCACACTAATAGAGGCGAGCTAGAGGTAATGACAGTATGTTTGCCAGCACATTGCCATTCTGTAACAGCTCTGTTTTGTCACAACAGCAACAAGAAGTCACATAATTCAGCTGGTAATGTCTTTACACAATTGAGTCACATCAAACTGCAGTCAACGGTACCTTTGATTCCTTCTTTTCCATCAGCTCAGATTATAATTGGCCACGTCTCTCAGCGGCTTTAAGGATCATTGCTGTGTGTGTCTGAATGGTCGTCTGGCGTATTCATCATGTACATGGTGCCATTAAGTGTCAGTGAATGTTTGATTCTCGCACCAGGCTCTTGGGGTCTCACTACAGCATTACCCATGAATCAGACCCAACATAAAGCTAGATGTCTCTACGGATGATTCATCTGATGCAAATAGGAAACTCTGGCATTTGAGCCTAATAATCAGACAGAACATAATGTTGCCTTTGAAGCCATTTCCCATTTATTTGCCTCTCTCTCACATGCTGTAATGCAGTGCCTAATGCTGATTGTAATGGTGTAATGTAGCTTAGCATATATACTAAAAACACCATCACAATTACAGTAGCCTTTGTCAGGCTTTAAGTACATATCTTGTTGATTTAAGACGGAATTTTAGCTTTATGATCCCCCTTTTTTTTAATAATCACTGTATGTCCAAAGCCTATGTGGAACATGAGCCTGTTGTTCTGCAGAAAAAAAGTGGTTTATTGATGAGTCTTTTACTGTTTTCTGCTTGGGATCTTCCAGGAAGAGAAGCTGCTGTTGTGTGTTTCTGTGTGATGCTGTAATGCCCTTGATTACTTGACACTGCTTGAATCTCATACACAAAAAGGACAAGAGGATCAATAATGGATGCTTTGTTTTTATTCTGGTAATCAATATAGTTTGATTGTGCCTGTGTTATTGCTTGCTTTCATAAATAGATGTGTCAGCCTGCTTCTTAAATGATATTATGTTCCATATTATGGCTCTCTATAAATGTGCTGTATCGTCTAGATTTTATAGATTTTTCTGTAGTCGGTGTAATAACTTGATGATGACGCTATTGTTACTGAGGGTTTGTGTGTGTGTGTGTGTGTGTGTGTTGCTAATGAGCAGCACTGCCGTTAATGACTCCATCAGGCTGTTTCTAAATGCACTTGTCACTCCGATGGGACACTCCGCCAGAGAATCTGCCCACTCAGCAGAACGGGCTCAGACTCTGGCAGGGCACCAGAGACACACACACACACACACACACACACGCACACACACGGTTTGACGCACACACACATTAAGATGCTGCACGCTGACAATCAGTGTTGTGCACTCGCTTATTCAACTGTTTGTTCATTACGTTTTTGGCATGTGTCAGTTTTTAACAGTCTAACAATATGAGGCAGAGAGTTTGGGGGGGGGGGGGGGGGGCTCTTTTTTATTAAAGGACTGAGCAAGGGTTTGCATAGAAATATGAAATATGCCACTGCAATGCTGCTGACTACCAAAATGAAATATTCATGTCACAGCAGCAGCAGATCAGATATAAAAGGAGTGTGTAGCTTTGTACTCTGTCCTGTAGCTGAATGTCTGTAATTCTGTGTAATATATTGGCTCGTTGACTAAACTGACTTCTTTATGATGCAGCTGTATGCTCTTTTTTGGATTGTATTTATAAACAGAATACCATGAAGTGGCTGCTCAGTGCGTTACTTGAATGATATATTTGCTGATTGTTATTCTGAGGCTGATCTTTAACTATGTCAGAGGAATTGGATTGTTCTCCATAACAGGATACTGCAGCAATACCACAAGCCACACAAAAAAACCATTGTGCACTAAAGAGTAATAAACTGTGCCATTGTTATTGAGGGAAACTGTTCTTTTTTTTTTTTTCCGAGCGTGTATCCTAAGTTTTCCTGGTACACTGCCAACATGAGTTAAGTGCACTGTTATGTATTTGGGTCTCACAGGCAACATATGAAAAATACTACAAGACAAATGTGTCTTAAATAGCAGAATGACAATTTTTTTTTCTTGATCTGCATTACACGCTGTAGGGGATTTGGTGAGTGAACAAAGCCCTATTTTGTCCTCAGAAATACGTAAAGGCTGAAACCAAAGATGCACACACAATGTAAAGTAATTAATTAGAGAGACAAGTGACCTTCGCTGCTGTCCTGCTGCATCAACAGCTGTGATTCTCTAAAACCTGTGAGGCAGAGAGATGATTGGTATCATAATTCAACTGCCAGCTTTAGCCAGACTTTGAGATGCAGTGTTTTTAAAAGTGTGGCTGGCCTGACATAAAAGAACATTTACTTACAGTCCCCAATTTATTTTGTAAAGTTAAAGGAACAGCTGGAATCCATCTGATGGTGTAGGAACACTACCATTAGCAGTCATTTAGCTTAGCTTGGGATAAAGATTTTCCATCCAAAAGTAATACAATAGCCACTCCTCTGCAGCTCACAAATAAGCACTTTGTATCTTGTTTGTTTAAATAATGAGGTGAATTATTTCATGCCTGGGTGTGGTAACTACTTCCTTTTTGTCAAGGTAACTTTGCCACCAAGTCAAATGTTTCCCACTGCTTCCAGTCTTTGTGCTAAGCTCTGTAGCGATTCCTGCCCAGTTGTGTTTATTTCGCCCATGCTGCCAATTTCACTGCGCTCCACCACATTTCTGCAATCTACGTTTGCATCTTCTTGATTGCTTCCTTTCCCTGTCATTCACCACCTGGCCACCAGGTGCCCTCAGACCTTCCCACCAGTCTTTGTCACCTGACTTCCATGCTCACCTGTTGCTTATATCCCCTCTATATTTACTGCACTTGCCCTTTCTTTCTGCAAGTCCTCCATGTTCTATGTGAATGTGTTTATCTGTCCCATCCTGCCAGCTGCCTTTTCCTAAGTTTCAGCCTGATTCTTGTTACCCACCTTTGTTCCTGTTGCCTGAACCCGCCTGCCTATAAGCTTTTGTTATCACCTTACCTTCTAACAGCATCTGCCTGCCTGTGCTCCTTACACTTAACTGTGACATCAGATCAGACAGTGGTATCAGTATTCTCATCTAAATCTTGGCAAGACTGCAAATAAGTATACAAAACTATTCTTGTTAAATGTGTATCATTTCTTCATTGATTCCCAGGCCCTAAAACTATTTCCTGTGGTCCACAAAAGATATTTATAATGACAAAAAGAAATTTATTGCAATAAACAAACTGTATAAGAAATAACTGAGATACACATTAAGTTCCCACAAATTCCAAGCCAGAAGGCTATAACACATTCCTACCAGTGCATGAAGAGTGTTGTATTTCATAGTCCTTATGTAATCTGTAAGGTAAGTCACTTAATCAGGTAATGCAAACTATCTACTGAGTTTATTGTGTATTGAAGTGAGCATTAGAGCTTCTTTTTACTGTTCTATCCACCAGGGATGGCTTGCCAGTGAAGTTTACATTCTGCCCCTCTATCTCTCCCCAGAGAACTGGCCTGATTCTTTTTTCATTGCTGCCTGCCGAAATTGGTTTCTGGTCATATACAATGAGGCTGAACGTTGGAGAGCTATGTCTGCTGATACAGTTTGTTGGCTTGTGCCTGGAGAAACAGAGAGCTGTAGATGAAAACACACACACACACACACACACACACACACACACACACAAAGGGTAACTCTTGCTCACAAAATAGCTCAATAGGTTTTCTCTCTTGTCTTTCTTCAAATCAAGTCGTCAGTGCGGAAACCAGTGAGATTATACAAGGTCATAGCTTGTGAGTTCATAGATGATTTCCTGACTCCTGCCCTCATCCACAGTGTAGATGGTTCATCCATGAGTGCTGTGATGATCAGGGCATTTGGACAAAACATCCAGACACAAAAAAGAAACCCTGCAGGTGGAAAAAAAATATTGTGGGTTGAGCTTTGCACTACATCGGTGTATCAGATAAACATTTGAATGTGTTTATGCACAAAACAAGGGCTGTAGATTTTCAAATCAAATCAAATTTTATTTGTAAAGCGCCAAATCACAACAAAAGTCATCTCAGGACACTTTACAAAGTAAGGTCTAGACCTTACTGTTATCAATATTATTACATAGGGAAAACCCAACAAATCCCCCTTGAGCAAGCACTTGGCGACAGTGGGGAGGAAAAACTCCCTTTAACGGAAGAAACCTCCGACAGACCCCGGCTCTTGGTGGGCGGCCTTCTGCCTCGACCGGTTGGGGTGAGTGGATAGAGGAGAGACAAAAGAAGAAAAGCAACAAGACACAACAATCAAACACTGATCAGGTCGATGTGGCTGGTGACTGCTCGTCAGAGATGTAGAGCTCCAGGGCCAGGGCAACCTGCAGAAAGGTACAAGTGAGAGAGAGAGGACACACTACGGGAGAGAG